GAATGTTGAAATACAATAGAATATCAGTCACTTAGTATTCATAATGTTTCTGTTATACATGATCATCATGTATTACATGCGCTTTCAGAAACTTTAAGTTTGTTTTCAAATGTCTAAAGTCTTATTACTAAAGTTACCGGTATTTTCAAAGTCAAAGGCCGGCACAACTTGTTGAAACACTTATATATATAAATAAATATATAAAGTGTATTTAATATAATATTTAAACATATATTTAAATTGTTTCAATTGCTACAAAATATTTTAAAACTAAAATGGGAGGAAAAAAACTCGATCCCCTACTGAGAATTGATCTCAAACTATATTATCGCCAAGCGTCCACTCTACCACTTGACCACACAAGATCCTCTCCAACAAGTATATCTTAAAACCAGGCCAATGGTAAATTTTTTGCCGCGGTGTACCCAGGCCAAAGCCCACGATTTCACTAGGTACACCGCCGCGGTTTACGCGGGCCAAAGCCGATGGTTTCGCTAGGTACACCGCCGCGGTGTACGCATCCACTTCGATAATAATAATAAAGGGAAACTACTTTCAATTAATAGATAAAAGTTAAAGACTATTAATTTCACCAAGACCAAGAACACAAAAATACTGTACAGACAGGAGGTTGACAAAAATCCAATCCACTCGTTTTACTTTTATTTTTTTTCATCATATTATTAAAAAAAATATTTATTTACATTCATTAAATAAAAATAAAAGAAGTTTTAAAAGCTTTTAGCAATTTTATTGTTCATAATTTGAAGATCCTAAAAATTCTGGCTAGTGGCACTAATTTAGCGACATTCGCTACTACTTTTATAAAAATTATTTGGAAACAAAATAAAACATAGTTTAGGCCTACTGTTTGATTCTCCTAAAACAAATAGGGGTCCGTTTAAAAAAAAAATGCTGCCCTGAATTCCATGTATTCGCTGGAAGTACACATTTCCTTGTTCATACATGCTTTGGCTTTAGCGACGATGTTATGTAAATTTATCCCATTGCCAGCAGGAGCTGCCGTCACTAAATGTCAGTAAAGGCTAAGGTCTAAGGTCAAAGAAAAATGGATTTAATCAGGTATTGGATATATCTTGCTATCAGCCATCTGCTCCACACATTCATATTATGTATAGTGGATATGAATCCACAAGAATTGCAATATGTCTCGGATCATCTAACAAATAAGAAATGTAATGAACTTATGCAGGCGCTGCAACAAAAAGGATTTGAGGTAACGTGTGTAAATTAATTATTAATCACTCATGACTTGAATGACTTGAACCACTTTTGTTTCTTTTTATTTTTAAAATTAATAATATATTATTAATCAAAGAAAATGAATATTGGCATGGGAATATTATTATCAAAAAAAGTCACAATGCAGAATTATGTTTTAAGAAAGTGCGGCCAAAGCAAAGAGATAGCGCCAATGACTGATCACCATGTGCAAATATAATTTGATCATTGTCAGTATTTTTGTTTGGTTTTTTTAATATTTGTCATTTATTAGATTATTTCTTTTATAAGTTATAGGCCTGCTTTTCAAAATTAAGCCTGCACAATGTGACAAATCATATGGGACTGTATTCAGTCCATTCTGAAAGGAAGCCACCAACAAATTTTAAGTAATTAAAACTTAATGAGTAATTATTATACTTTTGATAATAGTCATCTTAAAAATATATTAACATCATATTATTATATTCCATCAGGCCACTTCTTGCTACCTAGACTCTTGGTCATGAAGAAGAATAAAAAAAAACTTTCAAAGGAAATCATTTCATTTTTTATTACTATTTTAAACTATTTAAATTTATTTTACAAAAAACAATTAGAGACTTAAAGACACTTAAGTACAAGGCTCCCAGACATTGTTCAAGTGGCTGTAAGTGTATGGCTACTGGTCCTTGGCCAATCCATTCTTTGCTGTAGGGAATTTATTCTTTCTTTTTACTTTGCTGTCATCACTCCTTACTTAAACAGGCTAAATTGTAGCATAAAAGAAGAAATATTAAATACACTACACCTATTCTATCGACCTCCACCACATTATCTTAAAAATTTTTTAACATAGCTTCATAGAGAAAAGTTTCGAAAACCTGATCTGAAACAAAAAATGCCACCTTGCCTTGTGAGGCTTCGTGAGTGGAGCCTTGGCCCAGGACATAACATGACTTTTGAATTTCTGGCCCTGAGATTAAAGGAGATAGGCTTAGAAAAGGTACGATATATAGGCTTAGAAAAGATAGATACCCGCCAAGAAAAATAGTGGTAGGCTTAGAATTAGACAAGGTAAGATACCAACCAAAAATATTTAATTCATACTGCAAATACACAGCCTGAGAAATCACAGTTCCAATCGTTAGCCTGACAATGTTTTATTGAATATTTATTTTAATTAGCTTATAATAATAATAACATTTTCAATTACCAGTAATATTAAAATACATTTAAAATAAATATGTTTTTTTTACATTTTTTAAAGGCTGAATATGTGGTCTTAAATATTTCTCTCAGATAAAATAGCTGAATGTATTATTCTGTTATTTTTCTCAGCAATTAAAATTTAAAAAGGATTTATAAATGTGACCCGCAAAAATTTATGTAATTTTCCAGACAAACACATTTGTAGATTTTTTTAATCTGTTTAGAAAACGTCCCCAGGTGGCTGATACTTTGTCTCGCTCTGTGCTAGGGGAAACGGTGTTGGAGTTACATCAGTTTTTCTTGGATGACCCATTCAAAGAGATGATACCTACACAGAACCTGATGTTGGACAAAAGTGAAGAAACAACCAAGGTGGGCTTTGATTGTTAGATCTCACAATGTCATGTTTAGTTAAGTATTGTTCGTACCGCTTTATTGTGCAGAGAATTTAAATATCTTATTTTACTCTATGGACGATACCATTAATTAGAAACAGTAATAAAGAAAGTATACCCACACTAGGGCTAATTACAATTAATTAAGTTAACTTTACTATATAAAATCAAATAGAATAAAATTAAGGCTATTGACCTTAAGTACATTAATAAACTTGTACCAGTACAATGTTGAAGAGGGTGAACACACCCACAGAGGATATTAATATACAAATCTTTGTCTCGTATCATAAAAGCAAAACTATCTTGTAATAGTTCAATCTCTCTATTAGCTCATAACTTTTTATGTCGATGGGCGTATTTAGTCTTTTTTGCCCGAGGCAATCATTTTTTTAAATCTTTGATTAAACATAAAATATTTAAAATATATAATACCTTGTGTATAAGAAAATCACCTTGAGATCTTATGAAAATGTAAATATATATGAAATATTTCTTTGGCTTGACATCATGTATTTCTGGACATTCTGATTTTGTGCAAACAACCATATTTTATATTTACAGTTGATTCCTGTGGTGGATGGTGAGGACAAAGACGAAAAGCTGTTTGTGACAATTATTATACTGACTGTCATATGTCTTACACTCTGCATGTCTTTGAGTGTCTGCTTGGTTTGTCCAAGACTGGGACACTTTGTATGTGATAAGGCATGTCCGTCCATGTGCACTGTTATTTTTGATATTATCATTGACGGGTGTCTGCAGTGTTGGTACAGTTCCAGGAAAAGCATGGATAAATATTTGTTGCAGGCACCTAAAGGCGGTGGGGGGCTAATGGTATGAAAGCGTGACATAAATAACAAGAAACTGCTGCCCATTACAAATTAATGTCTTTGGCACCCTTGGGTTTCCACAGCTTAATAACTAAGCTTTACCACTGCATATAAAACATTTCATATTTCGTTTGCAATGTGGAAAAAGTGTATGATTTTTATTATTTTAGAATTATCTGTATTGGTACGAAAAATTAAGACTAAATTAATTTTTCTTCTTCACAATGTTGATTATGATTTTCATTAAATAACATTATTGCAACAGTGCTCTCTACGATTCTATGGTGCATAAATAAGAAGAGTAACAAAGTACTGAAAGTTATTTTGAGTGATTTATAAAATAAACACCATAAATTTAAATATTTGAATACTATTCATTAAATTGGATACATTATTGTGGATATTTTCATTAGTCATGAATACTTGCTGTTGATTTTTCTATAAATAAATTATTCAATTAATTTTTTTCATTCATGTACCGGTAATGGGAGAAAGATATATTGCGTGCAAAATTTAAGTCTATTTCCATACTTTTGTGCATTCTAAATAAAAAAATGTCTGTATTTACATATAAACAAAACCCTCCCCCCAAATGCATATTCAACTTAACTTTTTTCTAATAAAACATTTTTTGCTTGAGTTCTGTGAGATCATCAACAATACTTTCTAAGTTCACAGAATAATTTTATCCTTGAAACCATCTTTAAAAAGCTGTCACAGACCCCAATGTGCCACATTAGCAAAGTAAAAAAAATCAAGTTGCATTGGCAAATTTTTTTGCCGAAAGTAAAGTTTTATGTTTTTGTGTGGCCATTATGACATCGTGAGTGTTAAATTTCAATTCAAATTCTAAGAATGTCATAATTCATGTGTACATAGGCATTTTTCAAGTTCTCTGCCATTATGCACCTGTACAAAACACTGTATAATCTGACCATACCCCTCCACCCTCAGGGTGTATCATATACATGGATGACCACTTTCCTCATCTGTAACTAAAAATTATTTTATCTCCTTTTCAGATAACTTAATAAAATAATAAAGATATAAAGATTATCTTATTTAAATAATAAGATATGGAGCCATTTAAGTTAATAAACCATGATAAAATGTATCCTATGTTTTAATTAGGTTTAAAATTTAGCAATTGAAGCTGCTCAATTAATTATACTTAACTTAAAAGTGCCAAATTATTGTTGCTGTTTTTTATTTCTTAAGTATTTGTTAAAATAAAGAAAACATTTTGTTATACTTTAATTAAATATTTAAAGCTTAACATATGACCTTCTTTTGCATGTCCTTAAAACATTCCATTATGATTATCCTTTACCGGGTATATGTTAAACTTATCAGTTTGGTTCATTTTTTTAAAACTGCAACGGATAATTTGTGTTATTAATAATGTATGAAGAAAAAAATTAATTTAAAGTCATGACAAAAAAGTTGATTTACAGGCGTAATCATTTATTTACACTACATTATATTTACACTAATGAGTGAGGTTTACACTTACACAAGACAACTGTACAAAATGTGTTTGCCCAACACAAAATTGCATTGCAAATACATTTCACACGACATAACTTCATAAGTACTAACATCTGATTAATGAATAAGAGCCATACGGAACTTAACCACAGGTGTTTGTTGGATATAGCCCAAAAAAGTTCATGACTTTATTTTGAGAGCATAGTTTCCCAATCCGACCTCTGAAAACTGAGGCTTTTAATTTAGTTAGTTTAGGAGAGAACAGAGAAATGCTGTGATCATCTTTGGTTCCCAGGGAATCTGAAATTAATTTCCACTTGCCAAATACCTTGTAAAAACTGCTGGTTTTAAAATTTGATGTGACTAATTTTGGGAAAATGAAAAACAGTATGGTCAGTTGCAGAGGCGTAGCGTGGTGGGGGCAGGGGGGGACAGATGTCCCCGGGCGCCAGCTAGTTAGGGGCGCCAAAATGTGCTTTGATATTATTTTATTGATGAAAATAATGGGTTTGAGAGTTGAAAAAAAAGAAAAAGGGGCGCTAAAAATGGATCTTGTCCCCGGGCGCGAATCTTGTCCCCGGGCGCCAAACATCCTCGCTACGCCACTGGTCAGTTGGTCCCAACACTGTATTTACACTAAATGTGCACTTACGGCAATTACATAAAAATGTGAACCAGAAGGTCAGATTGCTCTAACACATTAGAATATTACTATGGAAAATTCAGGCCATAATTCACTGGTGACAAATTACATCTTGCAAGCTCAACTGTGTGTGCGACAGGCAGTCCTGACGCACCTCTCTGACTTCCAGATAGTGGTGAAATTCTACTTGATGTCATTCAGAAATACTGGAGTTTTGATCCTGTTTCACTTTTTAAAACTTTTCACACATCTGCACATTTTACTTTATATTCATCACTTTTTGGTACAACATGCACAGCAAAAATTTGTTTTTGGTCATCCTTTTAAACAATTTTTTGCTTCTTAAAATGCATCTATTACTGTATGTATTAAATTGTCCCTGTGTTTTTTATAATTTATCAATACTCTAAATATAAAAATTATTTGTAATCTGAAAAACAGAGTTACTTCCATATTGTTAACACATCATCTAACAACAAAGACTGGCAGGTGGTGAGAAAGAGTTTAGAATTTTGTTGCCACAATCACAATGTTATCAGAGATGGTTACTACTTTTGAGTATTTGGAAGTCCTGATCACTTTGGCTTGTCAGTGCTCTCATCATTACTGGCTGCTGATGGGCTATTAGCTTCACCCTGACTGTTGTCTTCACTGCTGTCATCTGCACTGTCATCATCACTATCTGACCCACCTTTATGTTCACCTGTCATAGAATGAAACAGATGGTAGAAATAACATTATGTTGGAAACTAAATTTTAATTTAGGACATTTGAAAAAAATTGTGAAGTTTAATCATTGCTAACATAAATTGTTAGTACAAATTATGTAAGACAACACTCACCAGTATTATTTTTCTTAAATTTCTTTGCTTTTAGTTTCTGTTTCTTCTTTAACCTGGAAAAATTATTGATTAAACATGAAGGCCATAGACATCAAAAGCAGTGAATTGCTATATTTATTAATTTTTTACAAATGTCAAGAAGCAAAAATTGTAATTTCATCAAAAGGTAAACATCAACAGAATGCAGTTGAAGAAAGGGTTTTTGTAAAATTAGGAGGATTTTGCACACAGTTTGGGGCCTCAAATAACATGTATGCATGCAAGTTTTAAAATTCATATAGTGCAAAACCTATTGATGCAACACTGCATTTTAAAAAAATGAAGGAAAAAAATAGTCTATGTCTTGCAGACTCAGTAGTTATATTACCTCACACCATAGCGATATAATTAAGCTAACTGTAACTTTATTTTGCAACAGTTCAATACCGGGTACCAAATAAATTTAAGTGGGGATACCTCTTAGCTCTTTTTTTTGCTGTTCTTTCTTCAGCCTCTAATTTGTGCTGCTCAAGGCGCTTTTTATACTCCACATCCAATTCATCCTGAAAATAAAAAGAATTTTATTTACGCCTCCTTGAACTAAACAAGCTGCTTTATAATCACAAGAATCTGGAGTTATAAAAATGTTTTTTGAATTTTCATACTATATGAATATTCTAAACCCAAATATGCTAATATATTTAAAATTTAAATCATTTTTTTTAAATATTGTTTTAGCACATTAGAACTCAAACCTTTTCTCCCATTTCCTTAATGAACTTCTGTCTGGCATACTCTCTTCTACGCACACCTCTATAGACATGAAAATCCCCACTGCCAGCTCCTGCACTAGAACCTTTAAGAGCATAAGAAATAATGTTAATTTAAAGAGAGTTGGGATGGATTCATTTCTGCTTTTCAGTTCTACAATAAGTTAAAAAGTATATTCCAGATCTGAGTAGTTATTGCAAATAACTGAGGCTGTTTAGAAGACTCTCAGTCCATAATTTTTAACCATCCATAAATTACATCATGCAAATTTGGCACATAAAAATTAGACACCCTCAACTCACATTGTCATTTGATGCCACCCACTGCCCCCTACCCATCATTAGATGCCAGACATTATTTATGAAAAAGTCCTCCCAGTTCAGGGTTACCAAGTCATTAAAATAAAATTTACTGAAAATTTTCTGAAAAATATTTTAAATAAGACTGTCCGTAAATTTACTGATGGTTAGTTGGCAACCTGGCTTGAGTTGCAATGCTTTTCGTTTTTAAAAAAAAACTAGATTACCCCAAATATTTCTAATGAACTCTAAAGGTGCTCTTGGTGATTTTTCTTTTGACTTTTCTGGAATAATTACTTCCTTGGTCTGAAAATAAAAGAAACGAAGATTTTAATAAGAATTTTAAAATATTAGTAGGATAAAAAAAAAATTACTTAAAGATAAGAATTCCTTGTTTTAAAAAAAAAAAATTAGTTTAAATGCCAGGATATTAATAATGGTTAATAATACTTTCAAAATTTAATTTATTTCATTTTTATCTATATGCAGTATCTCTATGGTTACAGATGAAATAGATGACAATGTCAGTGGCACTCTAGCTTCTATTCCACGGCATCTGATAACAAAAATATGCTGTATATATATTCATTCATCAAACCCGTTCGCTTATATAGTGGAACCCCGCTATAACGTGATGATCGGGGGTCCATAAAATCGGATCGTGTTAAAAGCGGGGTTGCGTTAATGCGCGGTAGAAAGCCTTGTTTTCGGCATTAATTTTGATACTAGTTTGAACATGGTGCCTTTAGGGGCTCATTTTCTACGATATTTAGAAAAGTTGTGATTTTTTTCACTTTAAAAAATGGCTTTCCAAGCAATTGATAAAATTTTCAAAGAACTTAGGCCTGATGGAGTAAATGAATTTCAAATTTCGGGAGCCATGCTATGACCGCGTTATATCCGAATTCGCGTTATGGCGGGGCGCGTTATAACGGGGTTCCACTGTAGTTAAATTATAGCTAATTTTGGCCAGGGAAAAGCCTAAAAGTGTGTAACACTCTCTTGGCCTAACTCCTCTTATGGATTGTCCATTAATAATTTATTATGTCAACAAAATAAAAAAATAAGGTGATGGAGTGGGGGTTAAAAAGTTTAATAGTTGCTGACAAGGGGGAGTCAACAAAAATTGGTAACAATTTTACATTTTGAAAAAATGTGGATGAGAGCGAAGCAGCAGTTTAGAAGACAATTTGGAACTAGTCGTGCATTGTCTCCGTCACATCTGCAAGAATTTGTCTATCCTAACCAGTTTTGGCGCACAAGCAAGTTTCTGAACTTCCTGATTTCGCTTGTCGAAAACTATCGGTGATTAGACTTAGACAGTCTGTTCTGGTTTAGAGTAGAATGGTGCTTTAAATAAACTTAAAACTGTTTTAACTACAGATTTGTTGGGTGTATTTTATGTCATTAAATCTATTTTGGGTGTATTTTATTTTATTAAAGCTGTTTTTTGGGTATATTTTAATTACTAATATACTAATAATTACCGACGCTATATAATATATAATATCGGAGTTTGGTAAATCGGTTCAGCTGTCATTCATGAATTTCAGAAGAAAAAAAAAATTAATTACAAACCGGGTTTTTCATTAGTTTTTCCAATTTAAGACGTTGCAGATCGACAGGTGTTTTTATAATTTTAACATCTTTTTCATCTTTAGTTTTAGCTTTCTTTGACGTCTCCTTTTCGGATGCCATTTTCTCTTATTATTAAGGGGATGCTACTTATGAATCAATTGCATCCACCTGTCAGAGTAACTACGCCATGCCAGACGATTATCAGCAATATTAGTAAAAAATTATTTTATATTTTTAATCCTAAAAAAAAATATAATATATTTGTGAATAAAATACAAAAAGAAGAAGACGCAAAAATAATTTATATAAATAAATATAAGATTCTTATAAGCTTATTATTACAATTAGTTTTATTTTGGCTTACTAACTATTCTATTTACAAATCATTAAATCATACATTTAAATAATCTGTGTATTAGTCTAGTATAATTAATTAGTCTAGTCTAATATTATAGTTGTTATAAATTCCTTTTTTTCCTTTTTTTTTTTTAAATTTTATAATGAATAGTACTTTGAAAAAAAAATGTTCCATATTTTTATCAAATTATTACGTTTGTCATAATATATATAGATTCTAATAGTTTGTCCGTCAAAATTTCAAACCATTTATTAAAATATAAAAATACTACAACTGTATATTATAGTATAGATCCCAGAGAATGGTTTACAAAAACACGAAGATCAACTTTCTAGCTAATATGGTTCAAAGGTTATGATTTTTCTAGTAAGGAACTCAAAACTACATTTTTTAATAGGACTATGAAATATACTATGGCATGGCATGGAGTTTTCCTCCACATTTCGTGACCCATATTTCGCTTTTGTTTTTACGCCTAAACTTGATTATAATATGAGATCAAACATACAAATATTCACAGGGATTATAGATTATCAGTTCAGTGGTCAGGGCACTGAGCACGCATTGTATCGCGGATAAAGAAATCTGACCACATCCTCCCAGTTTGTCATGGTTGGGGCATAGCAGCTGATGATGGTGAGGTGTTTTCTTCCGGATCAGAGAGGGAGTTTCATTGCCGGCATCCTAGCGCTGACTCATTTATGAAGACCAGCAAGCATGTCAATCATTGCAGATTTGATAGCATAACCAACACGCGCCTCACGAGGCTCCTCGCTCCCTGTGCCACTCCCGGGCGCCAAACGCTCTAGCTACGTCTCTGAACCACCTAAACAGATTGATCTTATTCCTCCCATGCATTATTCTCATGTTAGAACGCCGCTGGATAACCCAAGGGAACTTCATGTGGATGATACAGCTTGACACCATGGGCGTCGCAGGAGTTGTCGGAATTTTTCATTGTTCCAATGTTATCCGCCTACGGGACTCCATCTCCGGGTTTGAATTCAGAGTTCCCTTCTCTTAGATTTGTTGCCTGCCAAGGTCAACGAGTCCCATCCATCCAGGGTGCTTGTGATGTTTTTGCTTGACTATGCTTTTGTTGGGTATTGAACTCCAGGGCCACGAACTTGAGATTGACTCGGTCTAGACCACTTGGCCACCCAGCACCAAAATGCTTATAACACCTAACTAAAATGGTGTCCCTGTTCTTTTAACAACACGTAAACTAAAAAACACAAACTGAATCAAAGCTCCTACAACCACACGGAAATCAATAAGGAGAGAACACCAAAGAATTTGTTTTTGTTTTTACCATTTAAAGAAACAATGATGTCGAATTCAACACAAATATCAAACATTTTTTTTTTAAAGAAAAGAAAGAAAGAAAATATCTTTTAAAAATAAATTGTAAATTGCGCGAGTATAGATTCCGTCTGGGAATAGAGGTAATTTTGCTAGGCGTGACAGCCAATAGCAGCGCTTTCAGTTACAGCAGCGGTTCTCAACCTGTGGGTCGCGACCCCTTTGGGGGGTCGTATGACCCTTTCACAGGGGTCGCCTAGGACCATCTGTAAACATGTATACTCTACAGATATAAAGTATCAACTGAAAATAATTGTGTGGCTGAGGGTCGTCACAACATGAAGAACTGTATTAAAAGGGTCGCGGCATTAAAAAGATTGAGAACCACTGAGTTACAGAGCTAGTCCGAACCATGCCACGTGTATGTTTAAAAAAATATATAAATAATTTTTGTCAAAATAATTTCCACCTCATTTGCAATTGCTCCAGTACCTATCTAATTAAGTAAGAGATTAATTTATGAATTATATTTTTTGAAGCTACTCCAAGACTCTAAGTGAACTGAACAGATAAAGAAGCAAGTATTAATAATTCAAATATTTTGAAAGAGATTGAAAAAAAAAACACATTTGTGCTTTTTCGTTGCATATTCTTATTGGTATTTTTAAACGAAATGTTACATGTAAATTGAAAAAATTTCTGGCAATATTTCCGTGATTCGCAACGTTCTTTGAACATGAATTTAAAATGTTTCAACAACTATCTAATACGATGCTTTTGATTTGATTTATTTTGGATTATTTATTTGTCATCAAGCTGTTCATAATAAGTTAAAGAGTAAGTTTCAATATATATATATATATATATATAGGCCTCACATGTTACTTTGATTTTGATATGGTATTAAAATTTAAAGTAAACTAAAGATAAAATTTGCCAAGCCAAACATAAGTTTAAGTTCATATATAATATAAGTTAAGTCAAGTCACAAGCCAAAGTTAAGTGTACTTTTTAAGTGATATGTCGAATACGCGTTGTCAGCTGACTTATTCAAGTTAGTGTGTCTTAGTTTAAATTTTAATTTATTGTAATACATTACTTATTAAAAAAATTGCACCTGGTGGCGGTGGGGACCATGTGCCCTAGTAATAGACTATAGACTGACCATGCAGTATGTGAATCATGATGAAGGTGGAAGCTTGAATCAAGACAGTACAAAAGATAGGAAAGTTCAGAACATAATATTTATATTATATATTTTTGCTGAACTAAAATATCTGGTAAATGTAGACGAATGCCACTATTTTATCGATGGCCGCTGCTAATGTATCCCTAAATCGATCCCTATGCCTGAACCCTAAATCGATCCCTCAACCTAACCTAAACCCTAATTTACTGCAACTATAATAAACAAGCAAATGACGTCGTGGGATTCATGCTCTACATTAGCCAAATCTGTAAATAGTTGTATGATATAGCAATAACATATTGCTAAAATATTTAAAAAGTGCAGACTCACTGAGAGTCAGGTCATGTATATTCTATATAACATAGGCTAATTCATGGTCATTAACAGACAACTAACAAATGCCATTATTTGTTAGAAATGAAGGTGGACGCAATGAAGGATACTGAAAGTTATGTGATGGATGATGATGAGGAACCAAAGACAAACAGACAGAAGCTTGGTCGCATAATTACCTCTACAAAGTTCATGGTAAAATTTGTAACATATTTGTAATATTCTTAATGATAATGGTATCATTCACAGATGAAAAACATAGTTTTAATCTTTACCTTGTCAAAAATAGCTAGAACCCTAATTGTCCTTATTTATGACTTCAAAAAGGCCTTAGATTTTTATATTTGTGTTATTTTCTTGTAACAAATTAAAATTATAGAAAATTTAATTACTTCATGACTTCAGTTGTATTGTTTTGTGGATTTAACTTACATAGGCCTATATCACATTTTCATTATTAATCAATGTTCAATAAGGGGGTCCAACATGTGGCGAACGAGCTATTTTGTTTTTGGGGGGGTGTGGTTTGGTGGGGGGGGGGGGGGGGGGGGGGGGTCAGATCAGAGGCGGTACCTGTTGGTGGTCCTTGTGAGTGAGGAAATAAAAAAGCAATATCTTTAATTTAATAATGACATAAAAATATATAATGAAATACCAAAGAAGACATAAAATGACTTAATTAGGTAGTAGAAAGCTAGTTTTTCCTTTAAAAGGAGCTCGAGAAAATTATTACAGAGGCCAGACGTTTTTCCTTTGGCGCAATGGGCCATGCCACAGTCCAGTTTATTAATCATTTTCACCTTTAGGTACATTCAATGCTTTCAATATTGTTACAAGTTTTTTTAGATCCGTTCAACAATCTTATATTTTTCAGAACCACATAATTTTTAAATAGGGCAGAGTGTAAAATTGCTTTTTTCCTAAACTCATCATGAGCATTATGTATACATTCAATGTAGGTAATATTTTATGAAAGTGTTGCCACACATTTACCAAATGACCGTGGAAATTATATTTATCGTGAGGCAACTTGTTATAATGAGATCCTCAAATATATTTTACTAGTTAACCTATTAGAATTAATAGTGTCTTTTTTTGTTTTATAATTAGCTTTTTAAAAAAAAATTGTTATGTTTATTTTAAAAAAAATATTTTTCACTAACTAATGGCAGTGGTTATAAAACAAAGGCTGGATTATAATTCTAGAATTTTACTTATTTTTTTTTAAAAATATACTAACTTTCTTATTTTGTCCCCATCAAGATTGTTAATAACTGAATTCCAATTTTATCCTCCCTCATCACATTTTTTCCATTTTTCAGCTAGGCGTCATTGCTCTAGTCTCAATAGACTGCCTAATAGTGATAACAGAGACCATGGTGGTGTTCCATTTGATTAGACTAGAACCCACGTCATTCAGGGACATTGTTTTAATGGTTTGTAATGTCATACAAAGCATTTTCTTTCTTTTTATCCTAGTAACACTAGTAACAGCTTTTTCATTATGTGATAATGCATTTAATTTAAATGGTGCAGGATTCCTAAAATCCTGGTTATTCTATGTTAAATTTTAAGTCATAAATTAAATTATTTCTATACTTTTTAAAAAATTTTATAGTTATTAAAAATTATTTATTGAAAACTTGAAAGGTTTCAATTTTAAAATAAAATCTCACTACAAATTATAAATAAAAGGTTTAGAATGTATTCCTTATCTTTAATAGCAACAAATGCATCATCATTTGGTTGTTTCCTTGGCTTCTATTACGTTTAAAATAATTAGATGGAACTTTTCTCAAGCTGTTTTCTTTTGAAACCAAAATCTCCACAGAAATGCCCAAAAAACTATAACTAATTTTAAGTTATGTTATATCGTTATCTACATTATCTAGTATTATAAATATTGTTTCAGCAATCTAACTCCACCTGGTGAAGAAAGTGAATTGACAAATTTTGTAGTGCTTTTTAACTCATAAACCCTTTCAAATCATTTTTCTTTCTTTTATAGATCTTCCATGTTTCAAGCGTTACGATTCTGAGCTTATTTATGATAGAAATAGCTGTCCGCATCTATGTTATGCGCCTATCAATCTTTAAACACAAGCTGGAGCTCTTTGATGCTCTTGTGGTCATAGTGTCTTTTTGCCTGGATATTATTTATCTTGGAAGAGATGATGCAGCCAATAGTGCTGGACTCCTCATCCTACTGAGGCTGTGGAGGGTGACAAGGATTCTCAATGGTGAAAATAATACTTTTGTTACATCTCATGTTTAAGTTTAAGGGCAGCCACGCACATTTTTTGCCACCATAGCTTCTCAGGTTTTTTTTTTTATTACCCATGATGACAACAGTTTATGAGAAGAGTAGTCTTATTAAATGCATAGAGTTGGTATAGGCCATTGGCCAACTTTGTTTTATTTTTTTAAAGACAGTAGTCATCTTTTGTGTCCTTGATGTTAATCTAAATCTAAATAGAATTTGATAGAATTTACTTTTGTAACCGACCTCCTGTGTAGAAATCCTTATCAAACAAAAGAAAACAATTTTATAAAAATATATATATAAAGTGATTTTCTTGGGGTTTTCTATTTCTAGTTATTCATTCATGGCATTTTATATTTTTCATTCATTATTCAGTTTTTAAAATTTTACTGTAATTAATGTAAATTAAACATTTCTTTTAAATATTTATTACATGCGTATGTAAAAGGCATGTTAAGTGGGGTAATAAAAAAATAATGTTCCTCTTCATTTTTTAAAACTGTTTAGAAAGTACATTGTTAACGTTTTCTCCTAGATTAATTTATAATATCTGTACACTATTTGCTTCAGGGATTGTCATGTCTGTGAAAAAAAATGCAGAAAACGATCTTAGACATGAGAAGATGTTGAGAGAGCAAATTGAGAAAGAACTGGAGATCACTCGCAAGACTTGTTTAGAAAAAGATCTTGAAATATCAAAACTTCAAAATTCCTTGGTGGCTTTTCAAAGTGGAGATGGACCCCAAAAACAAAACTTTGAGATCGAAACTCCAAAACAGGAAACTGGAGAACCCGGGACACCAACTTTTCCTATGGAGGCCACAAAATCATCTCATTCTACTTTAGTTAACCCACCTGTTTAATTTTTAAAAAATTCCTTACAATACCAAGTTAGCTCATTAAAACTTTTTATGTGTGCTTTGCATGTGGTGAGATTAGAAGAAATAAATAATCTGAAATAAATTTAAATCTGTATAATATAATAAAAAAAATATAAAATTAACTATGAAATGTTATTTTAAACAAAAAATTTGGTCTTATCAAGGAGAGCAGGTAAGATGCACAAAATTCTTAGAAAAATATGAAAGGTAACAATTTACTGTTCATTCATTTAATCTAGGTATCGTGCAGAAATGCTAAAATGATTGAAATATAGTTAAAGCAAGTTCCTCGGGTTGTCCCAGAAAGCTGCTGTCAAATTTAAAATTCAGAGGGAGAACCCTTGACAACGAGGAGAAGTTAATGCAGGCTGGTCTCTTATTCATCGACACTGAACTGAACAATTGAACAGACAGCATAGGACAAGATCTGCTATAGTTTAAGATTGGTTAACATTTATACTTTATACAAATATGGTACATTTTTATGCGAGTATATATTTTCTTAAAATCTTTAGTAACACTTTATTATCAATTGTTTTATCTCTTTCTTTATGAAAAAAAAAATAAATGATACTTGACGAAGATATTTTTTATTTAATTGCAAATATAATGGTGTTACTATTAATTTTGATAATTCATTGGGTTTAGAGGGAGCAAAAACGTCTTCATTTGGGACCCAAATATTTTTATATACCTATTTTAAGCATTGAATAACAATATTTTTTTAAACATTAGTATTTGGCCAACAAATAAGAGGGGGGGGGGGGTTTATTTTGCAGACAAGTTAAAATTCTGCACATTTAAGCCAAAAGTTACAAAATATTTTTTTTTATTATACCCCTATGTATTTTAAGCATTGAATAACAATATTTTTTTAAACATTAGTATTTGGCCAACAAATAAGAGGGGGGGGGGGTTTGTTTTGCAGACAAGTTAAAATTCTGCACATTTGAGCCAAAAGGTACAAAATATTTTATTTTATTAGACCCCTATGGTCTTTAGTTACAGGGCATATCAATTATTTTTTTTAACTTACAAGAAAAAAAAACGTATATAATTTCTATTAACATGAAATGTATGTTATTTATTTTTACATACTTTGTTCTGTGGTGCTGTTTTGGTCTTTATTTTGACATTTGATTTACACAAATAAATATTTTAAAAACTGATTTAGAAGCAACAAAACAATATTAACCGTTTTATTTTTGCCATGCAATGGTCATAATTTAATTTTGATTAAAATTAAATTTGATTTCAATTTGATCTGAAGTGGGTTTTTTTCTTTTGCATGGAAGAATAGAAAGTTTTTAAATGTAATTTTGCACATGCTAAAATGAATGAGGTTTTTTTAAATTATAAGTACATTTTTAAAAAAAAAAATACATCTAGGATGAGTGATGTATAAAACAAAACAACTTTTTCTCCTTATTGAACCAATCATGGGTGATAACTAATAAAAATACTCAACACAAAACCCTTCCTAATATAAATGAGTTTCTTTAACATTGCTAGTGGTGGATCCAACTTGAAAGAATATTTACTGGGTAAGAAAGATATAAAAATGGGCTGTTTCACTGCTCCAACATTAAAAAGAAACTCATTCCACTGCCCCCTAAACAGCGACAAGTCCATGACAGTGACAGGCAGTTCTGGCTCATAACAGTACAGGAACTGCTCATTCCTGCCAAAGACAATCACTATCAGGGACTAGAACAAGCTTCCATTATGAACAGTTGAGGCGTCAACACTTGACACATTTGCGTCTTGCTTCAGAACTTCCAATCAACAGTTGGTGATGGCCTCGCTGAGTCGCCCTTGCAACCAGTCAAATATCCTCTTCAATACCAGGCGCAGAAACCTTGCCAAACTCCTCTACATACATAGGAGCCAGAATGATCAATACATTGATCGTGGGCCCTTAATATATTGACGAAGTGGAGAGAACAACACTAATGAAAGGGATGTAATTAAATCTATGAGAGGAATAAAGTGTATTACTTTAATTAAGAATAATTAAGGAAATGGTTACAACAAGTAAGATTTGGTCTTGTGTCTAGAGACCGACCGAAAGTGATTTTCTGATTTCGGCCGAAGCCGAAAATAGGCCGAAAGTTTAAAATGACTTTCGGCCGAAACCGAAAAAAGGCCGAAGGTTTAAAAATGACTTTCGGCCGAAACCGAAAAAAGGCCGAAT